TTTTTTCTCGCACAATTTAAGGTAAAATATTAAAATATTTTATTAGGTATCCTACGCGAAAGAATTATACTATTATATCTCCTTAATTTCCTCAGGCAATTGGTACTGCTGATGCTATGGAGCAGATTATAAAAAGTCATCTTTTATTCTATACGACAACGAATCTGGAGGCATTTATATTTTGCTACGCTGGAGAGTATTTGAACAATAAGGTCAGCGATGAAAGCTAGATAATTACTATAACAATAAAATTACTAATAACAATATAGATACTTTGTCTTTTTTTTAATAAAATAAGGCATAATTAGACTTTATTATTAAACTAATATTACAAATGTCTTGTAAAGAGATCGAATTTGCAACGTATAATTGCGGATGGTACAATTTAAAATCTAAAAATATTCGCATTTTATTATTTATAATATTAAAATCCCAGAGGCAATTAACGGTAACAGCTGGCCAGCTAATAGATCTCATCTTGAAATCCTTTGCAAGTATAAGATTCAAGAAAAATAAAAAATTTAGCTCTATCTTTCTATTCTAGCAGTATTTACTAGACCGTATTCTCCTTTATGAGCGCTCTTTTTGTTATAGTAATATTCCATTTGCATAAATATTAATTCCTAGTGCAAACAACATTGTTATAGATCATGAATGCTTCGGGATCCTACCTGTCAGTGTTGTTAGCAATGCAATAAACATCACGTTCACCTCGATAACATTTAATCAATAGTCGTGGAGCGACATTTAAATACGCGTTTTCACTAGTTACACTAACAGACATTAGTATTGCATATTTTTCCAAACATATTCTATGACATAAAGATAATTTACGTGAAATATAACATAAAATTATAATATACACTGTACTGTTCTGTGTAAAAGTTGCCGTATCTCAATTTCTTATGGAAAGATTGGAAAGAGAAATCGTGGATCTTTCTTCAAGCTAAGAATTTGCGGTGTAAAGATATAACACGCGATGCTAGATACGCAGTAATTTAATTTTTTATTTTCTTTCGCCCTCTAAACTTCAAAATGTTTCCAAAGCTCACTGAGCATGACTTGCAATCGGATATACCATACCTAATATGTCCAAGCGTATCATTGCTTACTTAAAGCGAGCAATTTTCTATCGCAACATCGGCTCTCAGGAAAAAGAGAGAGAGAGAGAGAGAACTGACCCCACCTGTGTGTTCCCTCCTTTTCATTAAAATTGTCAGGACCTGCGACAGATGTATGGATTGTCTGCACGCGCGCGCAGGACGGTAAAAATATTTAATGAGTTTTTTCCATTGGTCGACAATCCAAGGGTGAATTCGTGCGATGACCTTTTAGGAACGCCCAATCTTTACGCAGCAATTCTATGGTGTACGTCAATCCATCAAAACGTACATCTGGCTGAAGTACATGATCAAGTTCATTGTATTTCCTTTTGCTTCGTTAGAAATACTTATTATACATTTTGGTGTGCTCGCGCGCGTATGGAGAAAGGGGTAAAGAAGAACATTATGATCCAGAACAGCACAATTAATCGCACAATAGAAATTGTGTTCACTTTGTTCGGTATATGGCCAGGCACTTCGTGCATTTCGTTTTGCAGAATATTTTGGATTATCTCGATAATAATTGTTTAATTCTACCATTATCGTTACCTTCAAGTACATTTCCATTCCGATGATCTTTTCAATTTGACGAATTGCTTGAATAGCTTCCTAGCATACATGGAAGTGATGACAAAATTTGTTGTGTTTTGGTTAAATCAGCGGTAAGTAATACGATTATACACATAAATAATGATATGAATAATTTATAATCAGTGATGAGTTTATAATCAAATTACAGTTAAATGTGACATGTTTCTAAACAATTTTCGTAGCGAAAGGAAATCTATAATCCATTCATTAATTTAATTTGTGTTCAATATAATCATATTTTATATATATACATTCTAAAATTGCGTTTAGTACATACATTATGTATATTTATGCGCGTTTAATATGATTTTGCATTCTCATTTAATTTAAAGAAGTGTACAAAGCGGAAAAGCTAAAATGTTGTGAAATAATATTGACTTGCTAGAGTTATCCAGTAATATTTGGAAGACGATAAATTTTCTAAAAACTTGAAATAATCTTTTTTCGTAATCGGATAGGATAATCGACGTACCAAATCATCCACAGAGAATTCATCAAAACCTTGGAATGATGACGGAGGACTGGGACATTTGTGCCAATAATGAGGTCAACATGCATGAAACGATATGCAAGGCGAAATTATCGAATCGCATCACTAACGCAATGATAATTCTTCATACGTTAAGCGCCATCGCATACAGCACACGCATCATGCTGGCCGATGACGATATCAGTGATCACACGTCCAAGCCACCCTACATTCACAAAACGGAACTTCCCTTCGACGTGAACACACAAAGAACGTATAAAATGATTCTAATCATGCAAACCGTATACGCGCGTCATCATGTGCAGCTGGGCTGCTGGTGCTGTAAATGCTTTGCTTTTAACATTGGTAAGTTAAGCAAGTTAATTTTACAAAATTACAATACGGAAGGAAAAAGTAATTTTGTATTACAATTACACAAATTAAAGATATGTGGAAATTTACACCTATTATAGTGGGTCTCAAAATTACCCACTATATAATAGTTGTAATTTTACAAAAATTTTTTACAGTGAACGACAGTTACAACAATAACAATAAAAAATAAGTTATCAGACATTATATTAAAACAAATATTTGTGAAATGTATTGAAAATCTTTTTTATAATTTCCACCTTCTTAGAGTAAAGCGATCGGAAACGCAGCATATAATTCCGCATGGTGTAATTGGAAACCTGTGAGAATAGTCGCATTTTACCATTTATAGTCTTAAGATCGCAAAAGCAACTAACACTTACTCTGTTGGCAGATCTCTCTTTAGAATATTTCGCAAGTGTAAGAATTATACGTATAACACACAAACTAATTTTGCACATTATTTACATATATATAATGTTTGTTATAACATATTTACTTTTCTCTTTCTTAGAATTGATTTACTTATGTACATTTTTTACCCATAATTGAAGCGCGCCTGTTTGCAATAATTTAATATAATCTGTTATAAATTTATAATTATAAAAATAGTCTTTACTTTTAATACAAAGAATGACACTTGTTACAGATCATGAATGCTTCGGGATCGTATTTATCGGTGATGTTGGCGATCCAATGAACATCAGATCCGATCTCGTCGACCTTCTCAGCTGATGCTTGTCAAACACACATCAAATAATGTGCAAATTACCAGTTAGAAAAACACCTAACAATACAGGCTGTTTTCTAAATATGTATATATTTGGAGTAAAGAACATGATGCGAAATTTGAACTACGATCTGAAATTCTGAGATATTATGTACACATAGGCCGGTATTCATAATCAGATCTTATTTCAAGACCGTCTTAAGTAATATCTTAAGATGCTAATACGGCCGGCTCTGTGATTGGTTAATGACATCTTAAGATTGTACTTAAGATGGTCTTAAATATAAGAACCGACTATGAATACCGGCCAATAGTTAAAGTTATAGGTAAAAGCAAATTCAAAGATCAATATTTCTCAAATAAATATTTCTGCAGTATTGACGTTGTTAAATCGTTTTGTACGACGAAACGTGACATATATATTCCAATATTATTCCATAAACTACTTACTTTTGTATTCGTCAGCCAATATCCAGACTAAATCTGTCGCTGAATATTTTACAACACTAATGCACATTCAGATATACACAATATACACGTTCCCGTAGTATCACGCAATTCAGTTTTCTGGTTTTTCATCGAAGTCTCTTCACCCTCTAGATTTCAAAAACTTTTTGAAGGATCCCCGAGCTTGATTCATCATCGGACGTCGCCCCGCCTGTATGCCGCGTGTATCGTTGCATGCTTAAGACAAACAATTTGCGATCACGTCACCGCGTGCACGAAAGAGGGAGAAATAATTCTGCCTGTTCCATTCTTTTATCAAAGTGGGGAGGAGCAGCGACGAATGCGTGCTCATGATACGATACAAATATTTAATGTGCAACTCCTATTGGCCGTTGGCTTAGAGGCGCACCTGTGTGATGACCTCTTACGACCTCCCAGTCTTCACCCGGATATTTGATGTAACGTCAAGCTGTGGTTGACAAAAATATGTATATATTTTTGCAACTTACTGCGATTTAAACATGAGTCTTCATTTTCAGTGGACTTCTTCTTTTTAGACTTTGTACATGGGTAGTGAAATAAATATCCTGCATTATTGATTGGCGAGGCTGATATCCGAAATTAATATATCCAATTTTAGTATACAATATACTGCCGAACAAAAACGTAAATAAATGCAAATTTATCCCGTCATTATTATAAATAAAATCATCCAGAAACATCAGAAGATTATTTAGTTCTGGGAAAACATCAAATATTTATATTTATACATCGCACTATTGTAATTTGTATATGGAACACTGTGATAATTTACTTATTAGGATTTTAGTCATATGTGTCTGTGAGTGTAAAACAGACGTTAAATGGTATAAATAAATACAAATAAGTATTTTATTCCGCAAAATTAATTACGTATTTGCATTGTGCGTATCTTGTTAATTCCTTCATGCATTGTATATAGATTGTTGCATCGATAAACTATTCGCGGTTTCGACGAATTATTTGTATCATATAAGGTAACTCCGGTATATACGCCGCAGCTGAGGGAAACTTAATTTATCGAGTATTATTTACTATGTTTAAAGCAAATAAATTATACCAATAAAAACTTTATACTATCTACTACTATAAAAAAATAGAAATATAAAATATTTATTCTTTGTATTTAATAAAAAAAACTTTTAGAAACTCTTGCATTTTTGCCATATATCTCAGAGAGATGGGTTATATGACATTCAACTGAAAATTACAACACAACAGAATAATTGCGAGCAAGTACCTTCATTCCTTCTATTTTTTCTGACATCTGCTGCGTAAAATCCTGCGCGGCGTAAATACTGGAGTTATCCTATTTCGATATTGCAGACATTCGATAGTTCCGATGCGATAAGGAAGATAGTTGAAAGCTTTACAGCGTAACAAATATCGAGGTGTTCATATTTCCCTATCGCAGGAATCTGACAAATCAGGTTAGAGAAAACTAAAATAAAATAAGCACTCAATAAATGATTCTTTCGGTAATCTTCTCTTTCATTATTCTTCTTTCATAGAACAATTAAAGGGAAGATTATAGTTAAATTGTTGAGAAGTAACATATTAGGCTCTATAATATCTATAAAATAAAAATAAACGCAAATTAATAACCAATAAGACTTGATTACTATTATAGTTCAATTTATGTATTCTTTTTTTGATTAATCGTTAGAAAAATTATATAAATTTCTTCATTATTTTTACTTTTGCAGAGCGATACTGTTGGATCCGCTGCGTATAATTGTGCCTGGTACAATCTGGAATTTAAACACAATCACATTTTGTTATTCGTAACACTGAGATCGCAGAAGCAGCTGACGCTCACAATTGGGAAAATGATGGATCTCTTGTTGCAATGCTTCGCAAGAGTAAGATTCGTGCATAGTATGTAATTTATCTAGTTGTACATACACACGTAACATTGCCGTAATTATATATCTCCAGGTTTATGTTTGCTCATATAGCTCATCACATAGATTACTAAGTATAAGTATTACATTCTCATAACGATAGCTTGGGTATAATAACAAATGTTAAATTAAAATTAAACTCTGACGTTGTTATAGATTATAAATTTTATGGAATATCAATACTTATATCAGTGTTATTAGCGATACAGCGAGCGCCGCGTTTCTCTTTGACTTTCAATTAACAATCTTAAATATATGTATCCAGTAATATATAAATTCACTAATTAGATGAGCGCGTAACACAATATAATTCTTCGAACATACATACTTCGAGATAATATAATTTAATTAGCAATAAAATTATTTACAGAATAATATCAAACTATATGACCTTTAAACTGCAGTACGAAATCTTGATTTAAAAAAGAGATCGTTAGAGTGTATTCTCGATTTCCAAGAATCCCGCGGCGATTATCCCTTCCTTTCCTGTGTGACCCGTCGGAAACTACTTCGTCTTTCCTTAGATCAGTACGCATGATTTTTTGACGTACTATAAACCGGGCTATATATTGTACATCGACCTTCGTCTTGCGTAATCGTACATTTTTAACGAAAATTGCACGGCACCATACCATTCGGTGCGTGGAGCGGAAGGACGGCCCCTCGGTTTCTCTTCCATCCGCAAAATTCGCGATCGCCGACGACGCTACGACAGCTTCATCGTACGCAGAACGATGAAAATATTTAATGAGCTGCCCCCTGCCCGGTCGACGGTGGACGAAGGTAGGGCTCGCGGCAAGTGACCCTCCGGCATCTTTCAGTCCATCTACAGCGCTTATACAGGTGCGTGTCTCGTGCCTCTATCGTCCATAAATATCTGTTCCGCGATCGCGTTCAACGTTGACGTTCTTTCCGCGCGCGCTTCGGTTAACTGCGAGCGTTGTGCATCCATTTCATTAATCCACGTCGACTGGTGACACGCCGCGACACCGGACATTCCCTTTCTATTCTTGCCGTTAACACATTCGCCGTAAACCGTTACAGATCGTTCTCTGAGATAAATTAATTTTAATTAGAAAGTTTACAATCCCGAACAAATATCTCTCGCTTCCTTTGAAGGGAGGCATTCTCGTAAGAGGGACGTGCATGGCCTACCCTCATTTTAGCTCCGCGTCGCCGACTATGTCATAGGGTGTTCGTATTCATCAATCGACCGAGAATTAAGCCTCGTTAAATGTCTGTTAACACAATTACCCGGTCGATCGAGATCGGACTTCGAGTCGCCGGCATCTGGCCAGGCGCGGCCTACGTGATCATCAGTCGACTTTACTGGACCACGACGATGATAGCCGCGCAGATCTTTCAATATCGCCACATGGCGTTGCACCTTAATTCCGAGGACATCTCACAGCTAATGGACGGCTTGAGCGCAACGCTGTCATACAGTTTGTTGTTTGTCAAGTTGATTGTTTTCTGGACAAAACAACGGTACGTCGTCGCAATCCTCGCAGTCTATGATTTTACGATGAGCTGTACAAGTCGAGCAAAACGTTCGATAATACAGAGCAACTGACATGCATCAGTAATTATCATTGCATCGTATCAAAGCATTAGAAAGAATTAGTGATTGTGTTTTGCAATGAGGAAGCTTTAGCACATTAGAAGTCATTGTTTCGGCAAATAATATACATATCATTTCTTTCTCATGCATCATCAGTAATTTGTAAATAATAGGATTTTAATACGTCCTTTTAATTATCCTTTTTTAATTGTACTCGTTATTACATCGGGGAATATCACTATCTACAATGATACCCATGCATATACTTATCTTCGTATTTTTCAATCTACCTTCCACCTTCATTTGTCATCGAATACAGACAAATATAGTTTCCCAATCGTAGTCTTCAAGGGGGGAATACCTTCGCTCTCGCGGTGCTGCAGGAAATCGATTCTTCCTAGAATATTTAACGACGTGTTAACGAGCATCGCGACGGACTGGAAGGAATGCGGGGACGACTTGTACAGCATGAGTAGCGTGGCCAATATGTCGCATCGTTTCTCCAATTTGATAATCGGCCTGCACTCGACGGCCGTGCTGTTCTACGGCATCGGCGTCGTCGCCCTGCGCAGCAACGACGTCGCCGACGCCGCCGATCGTGAACTTTTTCTCAAGATGGAGTTACCCTTCGAGAGTGGCACGTCGCCAATTTACGAGGTCGTCATGACCACGCAGTTCCTGCATCAGATGACGGCCGCCACCGTGATCGGCGTGCTCAGCGCGCTACTCGTTACACTGGTAAGTTGGGGGCCTCGGAGGCTTTCAACCCTCCCGGGGATTTTCAAGTTCCCGACTGAGATTACTCCCGGGAATGCATCCCGGGAGCTAGAACTCAGCCCACGTTACCGCGATGACTGTTCGTAACACATTTCAATTCGTTTAGGAAAAATTGGAAGAAAAGTTATTGGTCGGAAATTGATTTCTAACCAGTCTAATTGATTTGTTGAGCTCATTAATCAAAGTTTTGGCTTGATAACTTATCTGCCTTCTCTTAATTAATGTTAAAAATATTGATTATTTGTTTTGTTTAAATATAATATATAAATATTTATATATAAAAATATATTTTCTCATTTACAAAATTTTCGATATTATAATAATAAATTTAAGAATTATCAATAAATTTCCATTTCAGTAGAAATTTTGAAACATCTATTATTATATCATATAACATTATATATATATATATATATTTCTTTTACACTTTTACGTAATATCATTTGTGCAGAGAACGGATAATAGAATTAAATCTTTAGGTGCTTCATGCGGGCGGTCAGATAGATATTTTGCGGGAAAGATTATTGGAAATTTTATCGAAAGAAAAGAAATCAACTATTTCCATGATCACGATAGGCTCGTTAATTCGAAGGCATCAAAACATCATTATTTTCACCGAAAAGATCGAAAGCCTGTACTCTTACATCGCGCTAGCCCAATTCGTATCGAACACCCTTGTTATTTGCTGCTTAGGCCTTATCATCGTGAATGTAAGTAATTTTAATGACTTTCGCCGCGCACAGATTAATCAATTACACTTTTGATTTACTTCGATGACACACGTATGTATATCAAATATGTGTGCAAATCAAGTTATCGTTTCCAAGTGACATTATTACCTTGTACATGTATATTTATATTATAATACTCAGCAACTTACAATTTTAATACTTATACAATGCAATTCGCGGTAGAAAAGATCCGATCGTGCACATCGTTATTTCAATTGCAGTCGATCGGCGCCGATCAAGGCTCTTCTATGTTAGTGAGATCCCTTTTGTTTTATGTCGTCATAAATTTAGAAGCGTTCATTTTCTGTTTCGCCGGCGAATATCTAAGCATGAAGGTGAGCAATTACAGCTGCTGATTTTACCGAGACAATTCTCTACCTCCTGCTTTTCGAATTTTTACTCCAATTTGACTTCCAGAGCAAGACGATCGGCGACGCGGCGTACGAGTCTCTGTGGTACGATTTGTCTCCTAGCGAGAATCGAATCCTGCTGTTCCTGATAATGAGATCACAAAAACAACTGACGATCACCGTCGGCAGATTCACGAATCTCTCTTTGCAACAGTTCGCGAATGTAAGTTTTACGCAACGTACTACATACGTCGATCGGATTATGTGTAACAGAGCTTCGTTATTACGTTCATCACGTAAATCGTTAACCTTAACATATACGATTAGAACAATGTTTATTTTTTTATACACGCAGCAACGTTATTTGTCGCAGATCATGAAATCGTCAGCGTCATACGTCTCTGTGCTACACGCATTGTAACGATATATTATTATAACGGCTGTAACTATTAATATTGAATTACTGATAACGCTGGAAATTACTCATAAGATAATTACGCATGGAAGATTACTCTATTTTTAATAAAAGTCAATGGTCAGCTAACGTTCCCTTGGTTAGCGTCTTTTTATTACAATAATATTTACGTAAACGTTGTTAAACGCGCACAGTTTACGCCGCCAGTTTACTGAAAATATGCCGTTGCTTCTGGGGACGGGGAAAGAAAAATATTTTTCGTAAGGATGAAGGCGCGCGCATGTCACGGGCTTTCATCCCCTAAAAGAACTTTGAAACGTCGTTCCGCGCTAAATTGCGGAAGTTATCCCGACGCAAGCGGAGACTGATTCTCCCCCTATCTCGCATGTATTCCGTTCTGATAGCGTGCAATTGTGCCAGATGGCCACAACGAATAGATCGCAACGCCAACGAAATTACACTGGGATTACTTAGCGCTATTTCGCGCATACAATCAGAACGCTTTCACACGGCAGCGAAAACCAGCCTGGAGGGACGATTTTATTAGCGACGACCGTATCTGCGTAGCGCGGACTACTGTAATTCCATCGCCCCTCGCGACCGCTCAATTTACAAACTCTGAGTTTACACTCGGTACGAGAGTAGAGAATTTATACTTCGTATTATCTGGTAAAAATACACATCTTATACACACGTCGACTGTGTCAAGGTAATGTATAAGGGAATAAGTTGCGCAATTCTACCCTTCGTACACAATTTTCTCTCCGTCAGAGAACCGGCCCAACGCAACATTTTCCAAAAGAAGTGCCTTATGACTCTCATTTCCGATTAGATTTTAAATTGTACTTTTTTATCAATTTTATAAAATAATCATTTATTGTTTGGATGTACGTTTCGAATTTTGTTCCATAATTATAAGTTCTTATTTTTTATATTAAATATTTTAAAAACAAAAAATTTTCATATTTTTATATTAAATATCTTTAAATATTAATTATTCATAAGTATTATATCTCTGTACAGGATATGTTCGTTCAGAAACTTACCCTGTAGATTTATTTAGAAAGAGGGTATCTTCTAAACAAAAACTTTTATTCCCAACGGTTCTATATCGCTGTAGGAAGTGTAGGATGTATCAACTTTCTAGATTGTGTCTAAGAATTATATTCTGACAATGTAAATCATGAATTTTCGCTTACGTCGAGTTCTATGCAGTGGCGATGTCACCGCATCTTACTTGCAAGTACGAAATTACGGGGTCGGGACGTTGGCGTCGTAAATTCCTTCTCGAGTTTCTCATCGCCACACACCATGAAAATTCTTAATTTTTGCATTTATATAACCACATTAGCATCGACTTTCTTGAATTTATTAATATATAACACAATATAAATTGTGTCAAATAAAAAGACAGTCAAAAGATTGCTAATATTCATAAACAATATTTTTGTAACTGGAAAATCGTACGTTTAATTATTCGACGAATATGTCTTTTAGAAAAATAACGGACTATAGTTATTACTTTCTTGTCAAATTAACGCATTAAATTTATTACAGAGATTATATAAAAAATGGATCTATTATTTTTGTAAGTGTCTTTCTAGAGATATTGCATGTCTTTCTGTTACAATGTAATTAATCATAATGCTTTATAAATTATTAAAAAACTAAGTACCCAATTCTTTATGTATTTTCCTCTAATATCTTCACAATCACGTACAAAATATGTGCTAAAAATAAAAAATAAAAAATAAAATTGTGTGTACTTTGCCACTCATTGCACACAAAATGTAACGCGAGATCGTTATCCGGATTGAAATTAATCCGGTGAAAACAAGTGTAGTTTACGGGAATTTAATCGAACTAATTTTATATGGAAGGAGACTCGGTTGACAACTTCTCCAGCGTCAATCTCCAACGAGTAGAGATCTCGCGCGCGAGCCTAGATTCTGTAGGTAATGAACGAACTAGTCGTTTCTAACTTTTTGACATTTAGAGGTAGTACGATTTTCCGGGGAAAACTGCGCCAGTGGTAGTAGTAACGGCGGCGGCGGCGGCGGTGGTGGTGATATGGTGGCGGCGACGGCGGCGGCGGCGGCGGCGGCGGTGGTGGAAGCGGCGGCGACGACTTCCCCGGGCTGAGCGAATTGGTCTCCATGGAAACCATCCCGAAGCCAATCCGGGGTGCATTCGTACGTACATTTACCCTTGTCGTGGCGCGTCTGCAGCACCCTCTCTTCTCCCCTTCTTCCGCTTACCACCCTCAACCCTTATAAACTCGCACCCTCTCTCGCTCTCATCTCCCGCACAGTACTCCACTCTCTCCGACATTTTCTCTCCGTCTTCCTCTCCTTCCTTCTCTTGCTCTCTTTTTCTTTTCTGTCTCTCGATTCAAGTTGTTCCTCCGTCCGCAATTCCTCACCGCTCTCCTCGTCTCTTTTTCCTCGCCTTTTTCGACCATTTTATTTATTCCTTATTCACTTTTATTGTTTCGCCTGCACACGGCCTTGCCGTATCTCCACGCTTCCATTTATTCCGTCGCGCTCCGGTGATCGCGTCACTTGTGAATCCAAGAATAAAGTTTCCATCTCTATTTAAACATTTTTGTCGACAATGAACACGTATGGATGGATTTAGTTTTTTTTTTTTAAACGATTCGTCTATGCATAGTGTGCATTCATATGGTAAATGAATTGTTCCTACGAAAATATGGTTTTCAATATCTAAATTATTGCAGTATGCTATTTTTGTAATCTAGGTCGAAAGTTGAAAGAACCGCAGTTCAATCGAATTCCGGAGCATAATTTAAGATTCGAACATCCCGCACAATAGAAAATTTCCAACGAAGAATTTCTTGTTTTTCCCAGTTTTTCCATAATAATGTTTTTGCATTCAAACACACTATGGAAACATTTGTTGTTGAGTAAATAAATGTTACTTAAATATCACTCTTATTTGATATGTTTCTTCCGCTAAACATATCATTTATATTGAAATTATATTGGAACTATTTTCTTGCTACTAAAGGATTTATTTTGCCAATCATCCATCATAATGTCCATTGATTCTCGTTACTACTTCTCTTCTCTTTAGTCCCGTACTTTTCCAGATACTTTTTAGTCTCTAAGCGCAGCATACGCGTATTATACTATCTTTGTTCAGCACTCGTTTATTTATATTTCTATATTTCAGTTCACGATGCTGTTGCTGGATCCATAAAGCGGCGATGTAACATGTCGATCGTTACGTGACCCTACAGATGTTATTACGTGTCCCATTACCCCTGCTCCGAATATTCAGCAACTCGACTCGATGATCCGCCGAAGGGTGTATTTCGTTCGCCACACCATGACGTTCAAGTCTAGCGGATTATGCGATGCGTTCATGTTTGATACGCCATTAAGAACGATATAAATTTTATTCAGAAGCTATAATTTAGAAATATATACATAT